TTCCTTGAAAGATATTTCATTCCTTTTCTGGTATCCACAGGCCCGCTCAGAAATAATTGAATATACCTCTATGTTCCATGTACCCTAAAATCCCATAGATAAGAGCGGTTTAATTTACCGGTGAAAAATGAATTGGAATGAAATTGAAATTGAATGCAGTCACCCCTCTAACTTGATGGATGGATAAATAAAAATCGGAGAAGAAGTTTAGAAGAAGCTCCGCCCCTCAACTCTAAACCCCGCCCACTTAATAAACAATTCATATAGAAAAATAGCGATTTTAACGGAATTTCTGCCGGAATCTCTCTAGAAATGCCGGAATTTGATCTCTGGATAGAACTTGAAGAGCCCATTCGATCAGTAAAATTCCATAGATAAGAGCGGTTTAATTTACCGGTAAAAAATGATTTTGAAAAAATATTTTTAAAATTTTATTTGTACAACAACAACAATAGGCAGGGATAGCCGAGTGGTTAAGAGGTTAGACTCATGTCTGCACCTCTGAAAACCGCGAGTTCGATCCCTGCCGAGGCTCTAACCATGCCTTGCAAAAATTGCAAAAATGGTTCTAGTACCAGCGTCAGGCCCAGGTTGACAGGCCGGCTGATGAAGACCCCCGTCACAACAAATATGTCTAAAGTCGAAAAAGGAATCAGTGATAAAGCTAGGACGTCACCCGGAAGTGGCGCGCAGAACCCCCGCCCGAGTTCTGTGGTCAGTATGCGAGGGCTACCGAGGAGTGAACGGCCTCGGCCAAAGAAGCTAGTTCGAATTGGGACTCTGAACGTAGGATCGCTAACTGGGAAGTCCCGAGAGGTTGCTGATCTGATGACGCGCAGGAATATCCAAGTCCTATGCCTTCAGGAGACGCGATGGAAAGGTGCTAAGGCCAGGGAAATCGGGGAAGGTGTCAAGCTCTACTACAATGGAGAAGACACCAAGCGGAACGGCGTGGCCATAGCGGTAGCGGAGTCGCTCAAGGACTATGTCTCCGCTGTGAACAGGATCAGCGATCGGATCATGGCTGTGAGGATAGACACGAAGGAGGGGTACTGGTCAATACTCTCCGTGTACGCACCGCAGACCGGATGCCCCGAAAGTGATAAGGACGAGTTCTATCTGAGCCTGGACGAAGCCATAAGATCGGTTCCGGAAGGTGATTACCTGACCATAGCAGGTGACCTGAATGGTCACATCGGCAGTGACAGAAGAGGCTTAGAAAGGGTGCACGGAGGTAGAGGGATAGGAACGAGGAACGCTGAGGGAGAGAGGGTTCTGGACCTGGCTACAGCCCACGATCTGGCAATCTGCAGCACGTTCTTCGCGAAAAGGGAGACTCAGAAGGTAACCTACAGCAGCGGAGGGAGACAGACGGAAATCGACCATGTGCTGGTAAGAAGATCAACCCTCAAAACTGTGAAGGATATCAAAGTTCTACCCGGCGAAGACCTGGCTCCCCAGCACAGGCCCCTCCTGGCAGACATTGCGATAGACCTCCCCAAGAAGACAAGGGTAAACCGAGAGGAGAATCCGGTGGTGGAAGCTGCACCAAGCGGAGAAGGATGACCTCAGGCGAAAGATAATGGAAGTCGGTCTCCCAGATCCTAACGGGCCAATACAGCGGACTTGGGGCAGCGCGGCTGATACCATCCTGCGATGTGCCAAGGAGGGTCCTGGAGACGCGAGGTGGATTCAGAGGAGACAAGGCAGCGTGGTTCTGGAACGAGGAGGTCCAGCGAGTCGTGAAGCAGAAGAAGGAAGCATACAAGCGCTGGCAGAAGACCCGGAGCCCCGAAGACCTCGCCACCTACAGGAGTTGCAAGAGGCTCGCTAAGGCTGCTGTCGCCAAGGCGAAGAACACGGAAATGGACGCCTTGTACGAGAAGTTGGAAAGCAGAAACGCAGAGAAGTTCGTCTTCAGGCTGGCTAAGGCCCGCCATCGTGCTACTCAAGACATCAGGGTGGTGAAAAGTGTAAAAGGCAGCGATGGTGTCATCCTAAGAAAGCCAGCCGAAGTCAAGAAGAGGTGGAGTACTTCACTGGGCTTCTGAACAAGGAGTTCCCTCTTAAGAACGACTCACGGGCAGAGGCCGCAGCTGGTCCCATCGCACTCTGGACCAAGGATGAGGTTAGGTGTGCACTTGGGAGGATGAAGGTTGGAAAGGCGGTTGGCCCAGATGGGGTGCCAATCGAGGCATGGAAGGCGCTCGGAGAGTACGGCATAAGGTGGCTCACCAGCTTCCTGAACAAGGTAACAGTGGAAGGAAAGATGCCGGATGCATGGAGGACAAGTACCATCGTCCCCATCTTCAAACAGAAGGGCGACGCAATGGACTGCTCCAACTACCGCGGGATCAAGTTGACTGCGCATACCATGAAGCTGTACGAGCGGCTGGTCGATAAGAAGCTGCGGGAGCTGGTCCCGATCTCCCAGGAACAGTTCGGGTTCATGCCCGAAAGATCTACAACGGATGCCATCTTCATCGCAAGGCAAGTGATGGAGAAGTATCGAGAGAAGCGCCGACCCTGCTACCTAGCCTTCCTCGACCTGGAGAAGGCGTTCGACCGGCTACCGCGAGCAGTGCTGTGGAGGTCGCTCAGGGAACGAAACGTGCCAGAACACCTGATCTCTCTGGTGAAGGACATGTACGAAGGAGCCAAAGCAGCCATACGCACCCCTCACGGCCTAACAAAGGAGATAAACATCACGGTTGGGGTGCATCAAGGGTCAGCTCTGAGCCCCTTCCTGTTCCTCCTAACGCTCGATACCATGGTGAAGGGCCTCATGGAAGGACCACTGAAGACCATCCTCTACGCTGACGACATCGCCCTGATAGCGGATAGTAGAGAGGAACTACAGGCCAAGGTGCAGCAATGGCAGAAGGTCCTGGCAGAAGGCGGGCTACGGCTGAATGTCAAGAAGACCAAGTTCCTGAGCTCCGAAGAGGGTGCAGAGCCGATCGTAGACGGCCATGGTGAGACCATCGAAAGAGTGGAGGACTTCCGCTACCTTGGGAGCGATCTGGCAGCTGATGGCAGTGTGGATCAGGCGGTGAAGGCTCGGGTCAACACAGCATGGATGAAATGGAGGGAGTCCACTGGAATCCTCTGTGATCGAAGATGCTCTCAGAACGCTCAAAGGGAAGGTGTACCGAACAGTAGTCAGGCCTACGATGCTATACGGCAGCGAGTGCTGGCCCCTGAACAAGAACCACGAAAGGCAGCTTCACTCCGCTGAGATGAGGATGCTGAGGTGGGCCTGCGGCTGGACGCGACTGGACAGGGTCAGAAACGAGGAGTCAGAGCGGTCATGCAGACTGCCCCTGTCCAGCTGAAGGTACGGGAACAGCGTCTACGATGGTATGGGCATGTGCTAAGGAGGCCACAGGATCATCCGATAAGAACAGCGATGGACTTCGAAGTGCAAGGCAAGCGACCGCGAGGAGCCCCAAAGAAGAGGTGGAGAGATGTGATCAAGAAGGATCTAAGTGAAGTCATGGCCACAGCAGAGGACGCCCTGGACAGACTAAAGTGGCGACGACTGACAAAGACAGCGGACCCTGCGACTGCGCGGGACTAACGCTAGGGAGAAGAAGAAGAAGAAATTTGTACAACAACAACAAGGACTCCAACATAAACATAAACAACAAGGACTCCAACATAAACATAACACTAAACTTTTCCTCTACTTCGTCATCATCGTTTATATTCATCATGGCAAGAATCGTTTTTGAGATTTTCCAAATCACACAATGCTTTTTCAAAGCTATGTTGAATAACATCAGATGAAATGGATTGGAAACTTTCGCTAACTAAAAATGCAGCTTCTTCGTAGCTCATCCTTCTCCTTACTTCCACTTTTTGTGTAAGTTGCTTTGGCTTCATCTCTCATCCATTTTTCCCAGCCAGCTTTCAAGTGGTCTTTAAACGGTTTGTTGATGCCGACGTCTAAGGGTTGCAATATTTTAGTCAATCCTCCTGGTATTACGGCAATTTTGCTATATTGTTGACAAAATTGTTTCACTTCATCAGTTACGTGGCAAAGAGCAGAATCAAATATCAGCAAAGAGCGATCAGGGTGTGATTTTCTCTTTTGTTCCATATTTCAACGATCCATTCTTTCATCAATTCCTGATTCATCCAACCTTTTTCATTTGTTTTCACAATGACATCTGGAGGAAATTGTCCTTTTGGCATTAACTTCTTCTTAAAAATTAGCATTGGTTTAAGTTTCTCTCCAGCAGCAGTCACTCCCAATACAACAGTAAAATTAGATTTCTCATAGCCGGTAGAATCAATTTTAATGTTCTCTCGTCCCTTCACATCAACTGTCCGTTCATAGATGATATCAAAGGGAACTGGTACTTCATCAATATTTCCCAAATTGAAAGGAGGATACGTTTAAGGCTCCAGCTGCAACGAACTTTCGAAAATCCGAGCATTTTTGTAGATGGTCAGACGGTAATGGTTGACCGACACTTGTTCTTCGTACAGAGAGCTTTTTTCGCGCCATAAACAGGCTGCACCAATGCGCAGATGCTTTAAAATTTTGGTGACCATGCTCTTCTGCTAATTCCTTTGCTTTGGTCCTTATTTCTTTCACCGTGACAGCTCTATTTTCTTCTCGTTTTTTGACAACCCAGTTGTAGATGGCATCTTCAACTTCTTCAACGCTTGGTTTTTTGTATCGTCGGGCTCTCTTCGTTGCTGGCATCTCTTGAAGATTTTGTCGATCAACAAACCTTTCTCTAATCACTTCAAAATGTCTAGCCGCTGCCAAGGTTCCATGCAAATCACGATAATTGACGGCGTCTAGCTTGAAAGCTGCTGTATACGATTTACGACGTTTCATAGCAGGTGATACAGGAGCGTGGGCTAAGCGTTCATATTTGTGTGTATGGACACCATTATTTTCAGTTGAAGGAATTCGCTTCAACAGCTAAAGAGATGTCAACTCTCATTGAGCATGCTATAGTCAACTGCGGTGCCAAATCAACAGTTCTATAGTTATACAATTGTAACAGAACTTTTAAATAAATCTTCAAATGATCTGTGATGTATCCTTGTGCAATTTATATGCTCATTATTCATTTATTTCCTAGATAGAGTCCACTAGCGTGCTGTGCTTTACCCTTACCTTCCCCCCGAGAAACGTCGCACGAATTCTATGTAATAATTATACTCATGGTACTACATAGACAAAGAAAGGTCACTCCTCTACACATATAGAGCCGGAATTACATACACTTTGCAGAAGTGAAATTCAAGAACAAGTAAAGCGATTGGAGGTCCTCTTAGTCATCATCCTTTAAGGACGAATTCACGATCAGAGGGAAAATCGAATTAGGAAGAATTCACCTGGTTGAGGGACCCGCGGAGCTCCTAAGTGTGCGAACTGAAGCACAATTTGCACAGGAGGAGTTGACCTCGTTGACCTATTAAGGTTTAATCCCGCCGCGGCTGGTCAGTGCACGCCCACCGATCATCTGATCACTCGCCGCAGGTCTATACGTGGTGAGTGATTAGATAGGTGAGAGAGCGTAGCGTTGAAGAGGGCACAGCGATGATAGTCGCATCAATGCTCAAATCAACGGGCAAGGAAGTGGTCCCATTTCTCGTTTTTTCGAGTTGCTGGGCGTTTCTCAGCGGTATTGCCTCTCTTTGGTCGTTTCTACTCACCATCGCTAAGGTAATTTGAAATGGGTTGCTTTTCCAGCGTGAATTCGTCCTTTAATCAACTATCAGGCCTCGGGCATGCCCAACCAAACCACTCAAATTCCACAACATCATAGGATAATAAACTTCATGTAGAAGCATTACGACAAACAGACATAAGGCATGAGATATCGTGAGCAGAACAACAATACGTAGATCATAGAAGAGACGGACAAATGGCAGAGTTGACGACCCGGTCATCCGACCGGTTGCAGAACGGTCTCCACGGCAGAATCCCCGTTGTTTTCCTTGTCCTCGCTCCGCCCCCTCGATCGTCTTCGAATCGTCCGTCATCTGGAAACATAATGCTAAGCGATCAAAAATAAACATATGACATCCATAGGTCTAGAATAAGCTGATGACCTAGGTAGATAGCACAAAAGGAGAGAATGAATGTAAACAGACCATCAGGGTTGAATACCACAACGTTAGAACATATTTTTGTACCAACAGTTTCCATAAGACTCTTCTGCCCCGACGTTATCAGAATGTTTTGGTTTTTTAGCACGGTGCACGGTACGAGCTCAACGGGTTCTCGACGGATCGTTAACTTGTTGTGATGTTATCACAAACGCTGGTCAAAAGCATAAAAAGCTTCCAGGATATGGAGGGTTTTTCCTAAAATAGCCTTTAAATAAATAAAACGAAAAATGGATCATCTAAGGGATCGATCTTGGCTGATCACAAAATTTTGCATCTTGGGTTATCTCCTTCTAATCAGGAAAGTCTTTCAGGATATGGAGCGCTTCGCAGAATCTTCTCCGGGTATTTGGAGGGGGCAAGTACCCTAAGATCCCATAGATAAGAGCGGTCCATAGATAAGAGCGGTTTGTGCTAGAAAATCAAAATTGACGTTTGTATACGTTTTTTTGGCGTTGTGTGCTCATGATTATCGCAATAATAGCCTACAACTCTACCTTTATTCTTACTGTTTTCTATACTCTTTCGGTGCTAAGTGGGTTGGGGGGGGCACGCGGGGCGCGGCAGTCTGCTCGCCTGGCATGTTCGGAAATCCGTGAGGCCAGGGGGAGTGTAGCAGTCTAGGGGGTGGGGGGTGGGGGCAGTCACTTGACATGCGTGAAAAGCTGGAATGTTCGAGTTTACACTGTCTCGCTCGAGAGAGGCCAGGTGAGCAGACTGCCGCGCCGCCGCGTGGCCCCCCCCAACTAAGTTAGCACCTCTTTCTTCGTTG